GGCTGGGAAGATGATCCGAAGCCTCTCTTCCAGGTGCTAAAAAACAAGGTACCAGGGAGGCACATGGAGGGGCCTGGGTGGGGCCGGGCTGGTCCCATCGGCCGTGGACGTGACGTGACAGGGGCACCCGGACTTCCTCATCTTCCTCTGTTCGTTCGGCCCGGCATGTGATTGCTGGTATATCCCAAGAGAGGTGGAACAGCCCTAATAAGGTCGCCCATCCCATCTGTACACTACGTCCTATAAGGTCGCTCAACCTCTCTTGGTCAGTGTGGTTTTGGAATCGGGTCTAACTGGAGCCTCTCATGTCCAGTCACTCGCCTCTGCCGAGCTCTGCAAAAGCTCGAGCTCCTCTTCGACGGCCTCGAAGAATGGCGTCGGGGGACGGATCGGGCGAAGAGGCGCCGGGAGGCGCCGGGAGGCGCCGGGCCCGGCTTCGATCAGGTCGACAGCAGACCCTGAAAGTCACAGACTATTTCAAAGGACTCGGTGACGCGAGTTACTTCAGTTCCTGAGTTATATTAAATATGTAAATATATATATATATATACCCTGCGAGTCAAAGACTATACAAAGAAAGGTCTGACTAGGGATCGACAAGGGAATGTCCTTTGCCTCACAAAGGGAAAGGATAGTCTTTGGATGTCTTTGGACTTCCAGGGTATATTGATACGTTCCGTTCCCGACACATCGTCTGCCCTGGACTTCTAGGGTCAAAAGCCATGCACCAAGTCCCATTGGTGCTTCTGATCATCAACCTGGTGCCCGATGTGCTGCGACACCTCCCAGTCCTGCCGATCGGGTCGACACGGCCGGCGGCCGCACCCAGGCCGATTCGGCCGCTGAACAACTCCCCCCACAAGCTGGCCGGGGGCTCAGCGCGGCCTGCGGAGCTTTTCACACTGCTCCGCCAGATCGCCAGTTGACCGCTTCGGACCAGCGGAGGGGCCGCTTGGAGGGGGCCGGCCGCGCTGCTCGGTCCGCCCAGTCGAAGGTGGTCCAGGATCGCCAAGTCGTCAGCTCCATCCAGCTAGACACACTCGCAGCTGGTGGAATCGACGTACGGCAGCGCTGAAACTGAAAATGGAGCAGCCCGCAAACCGCCAAGACCCCGGCAACCCCGCGCTGTTTCACTGCGCACGCGCGCAGAAGAAGAGGGGTGCGGAGCACACCACACCGTGCCAGGTGGAGGTCTTTGGGTGATTCTGATTTTTCACACCCAACTATCCTTGCTTCCAGAGTGTCTTTGGATAGGCCTTTCACTATGGGACACACGATACACACGTAACCTATGTCCGATAGGCATGGTGAAAGGCTCCATCCCCATTGTCGGTCACAGAGTCTGGGATGGTCAAGCTCGCCAAAGATCTGCAATCTTCAAAGGCACCATGCCCTATGTCCGTGACCGAATCTGGGATGGTCAAGTTCACCAAAGAGCTGCAATGTGCAAAGGCATAATTGCCAATGAACGTAACTGAGTCCGGGATCGTCAAGTTTGCTAAAGAACTGCAATTGGCAAAAGCACCGTGCCCAATGTGGGTCACTGAGTTCGGGATGTTCAAGTGTTCCAAAGAGCTGCAATCCGCAAAGGCACAAGTTTCAATTTGGATCACTGAGTTGGGGATTGTCAATTTCACCAGGGAGCTGCAGTATCCAAAGGCACCATCCCCAATGTCGGTCACAGAGTCCGGGATGGTCAAGCTCGCCAAAGAGCTGCAATTTTCAAAGGCACCGTCGCCAATTTGAGTCACTGAGTTTGGGATGCTCAAGGCTGCCAAAGAACTGCAACAGTGAAATGCATAATCACCTATGTGAGTCACGGAGTCCGGGATGGTCAAGTTGACCAACGAGTTGCATCCTTCAAAGGCACTTTTCCCAATGTGAGTTACAGAGTTCGGGATAGTCAACTTGGCCAATGTCTGGCAATTGCAGAACGCATGCTCTTGAATCTGAGTTTCATCACTTGGGATTTCAACGACCAGCAACAGATCTGAGTCAATGACACCGCCAGAACTGGCAACTGCGTCTTGTTTGGAGCACATCACTACGTTGGGTTTGAAGACTACACTCACAAAGACTGTCTCTTCTTCAGCGAATGCTACATCCAACACTTTCGCATCATTGGCCAACAAACTGTTGTCTTCCACGATGATCTCCACAGCCGTAGTCTTGTGAGTAAGCTCATCCCAAGTCAGCTGTCCCTCCTTGATCTGCTGCTTCAGCTCCAGGCCTGTCATCTCTGGAGTCACTTCAATAGCCCTGACTTCGCCACTGGGCAGCACCGCTGAAAGTGTCCTCACCATGGCTCGCGCGCCACGGCGCGTATGCCGCGAAGCTGGCGTCGCGCGTCGACCAAGTGGCCGTTTGATGAAGAATGCACTGTGATCGGAAACTGTTTCCATCCATTACACCGCTACGCCCAGTGGTTAGAGTGGTTAGAGTGGTTTTGGGGATGTGTTTGGTCAAGTGAGTGGTTTTGGGCGGGCGAAGCTCTTGCGATGATAAAGCCTTTCTTTCACCTGGTTACAAAATGTTACAAGCAATTAGGCATGGCAGGTATGTTGGGAGGTTCAATTGCGGCAGCTGCCCCACCGGTTTACCTGGAACACCTTGGGCCGAACAAGCTGCAGCCGGATCTGCTGCCAACTGTCAAGTTCATGAGTCGAGTTCGTCCCTGTCCTCCACCTGCTGCAGGTCTCAACCTTTGGGGAAGTGCCTGCACCGGTCCTCCGGCTGAAACTGAAAGACCCACTCAGATTCTTCAGCTGAAAGATTCCTCTTCTTCACCCCGAAAATCCCCCAACCCCTCCGTCTTCCGGCGCTCTCGTCGTCGGTCGGTGACCGCTCCCGTCGTCCGCGACTGGTCCAAGGGTTCCGGCGGTGACCGGCCCCGTCGTCGGAAGGGCGGTGGAGTCGGTCGTGGACATGGCGGAACCACGGGGTGCCTTCACCACGACCGGCGAAAACTCCATCACGGCTGACACGAGTCATCGCGGTGTCGAATCCTCACGGGACTGCCAGCTCCGGACGAGGAACTCACGGCCGGCCGGGCGATTTCTGGGTGGTGCGTGCGTGGGAAAGAGGGGGTCAGACTCTGGGGGCGGCAGAACGATGGCAGTCCCAGACAGGTCGTGTCGGGGTCATGGTGCTTTTGGGCACCTTGTGCCGCACTTCACTCTGTTCGAAGGCGGCCGCGCAGTCTCTCCTCGGTTCCGAACGGGACCGGCCGGGGGGTCGTCGATTTGCGGCGGAGATTTGGGGGGGGCGGGGCGGTGGAACGACGCAGCTGGGAAAGAAGGACGACAGCAACGGTTTCTGAGTAAGGTATTGCTAAGACTAGGTGCTGCTATTCTTGCTGCAGGTTGGGGACCCAGGGACTAGTGGAAATGGATAGCTGAGATCACTTGCAAAAAATATACTTTGAAACCCCATGTAAATTATAGTTGATGGCTCCAAAATGAACACACCATGGTACCAACTCTGCAGAAGATGTACAACCAAGTCATCCACCAAGTCAATGAAAACTGGTCGATGACAGTCAATGCCCGCCCCCCACGAAATTCAAGACAACTGGTCACTCGCAATCTCTGCTTGCGAGATCCAAAAGGAGAATTCCCACCCATCGCAGCCCTGGGGATCCACTGCATCCACATACCTTTTGCAGAAGGTAATTACTTGGAACTTCCAAGCCTATACCCTGCGAGTCAAAGACTATACGGGGATCGGAAAGGGAATGTCCTTTACCTCACTAAGGGAAAGTATAGTCTTTCGACCTTCCAAGCCTCTGCATCAAAAGATATCAAAGGTGCCTCCAATTCACCTGCCCCGACCCATTCGGTGTTCCACCTCCTTAGCACCACATCCTAAAGACCCATCCTCCACTCCGGAGCCTCCACTACACCCCCCCAAGACCCATCCCCCTTCCAAAAATGATCCTTCCGGTACCCGAAAAAGCCGCACCGAACCACCGGCGCCGAACCCAACAGCCCAACAGCACCACCGAACCCACCCGCCGCCACCGCCGCGCCACCAGCCTCAGGGCCTCGGTGAAGCGGTGCTGGGCCGAGCTGCTGGCGCCTGCGCTCGGCAACGGTCAGAGTCGGTGGGCCCCGGGTGGGTGGACGTCTGAGGTCTCCCGGTGGGCCGGGGGTTTGCGGGCTCTGTGAACAAGGCGTCCCCTTTGAAGTCAGAAGTCCCAACAAAGTCATGACAGCACGGAAATCTAGAGGAACATTCACATATCTTATTGTTTCTTAAGATGCTCTTGGGACTTTCCAGGGTAGGCTTGGTCTTTTCGGATTTGAGGCTTCCATTCCTCAAACGAGATGACTCCAACGCCGGCTCCGTGAACCAGCACCCAAAAGCAGTGGCTCTGTGGGCCCTTTGGGAGGCAGACGCGACCCTGGAGCCGAACCTATGGAGGGTTCGGACCCGAATCCGGAGGGGTCTGGGGTCTGATATGGAGGGGTCTGGGGTCGAACCAATCCGGTTTTTGATGGACCACTGGGCTGTTGTCACGGAGCGCCTGGGCATGATGTCATGCCCAGGAGGCTTCGTGTAGGACCATCAGGATAACGTGGTGGTCCTACTCGCTGATGGGAGTCCAGGAATGTCCTGAAGCTACTTCGGTGTCTGCGAAAGAGTGAGCCGTTTCCTGGACTTCTATAGGGCAAAGATCGGCAAATGGTCTGGTTTGGGGACCCTTCGTAGATTCTTCAGGAAAATCTTTGCTGTGCTTCACGGAAAGATGCACGACCACAGCCGGTTGTTGGTTGGTCTCTCCTTCAAAAGAGCTCCACACTTAAATGGATGTGTGGAAAAAAAGGGATGAACATGATGGACCGATTGTGGGACCCAGCCAGTGATAACTTCGCTTTGCCGTACTTGCCTCGCCTTCACAGGACCTTGCTTGCAATGAGTGCACAGGACTTGCTTAGTTTACTTCGAATTCTCTGAACTCCAAATAGGACCTTGCTTGCTACTCCCCCACAGTGACTTGCTTAGTGTGCTTCTCTGAACTCAAAGACGTAGCGCCCCGAACCACGCCACACACCTGCCATCCTTCGAACCACACCACGCACCTCCGACTCCTCACCCGGTGCGCCTCGCAGCCTCAAGCGCTCTTGCAGCTCCTGCAGCTCGGTGGCCTGGTCGCTGGGCAGCGACCGGTCTCGCGTGCGGTTCCAAGAAAAAGGCTCCGGTGGACGGTGGGCAAAGGAGGTCGAACTCCGGTTTGCCCCCTTGCTGGGACGGCGGGGGGAGGGGGTAACTAGGACTCTGTAGCCCCTGGCCATGAGCTACTCACCAAGGCTGGGAATGGAAATGGATGGGGTGCGCATGGGTGCGTGTTGTCTTTTTCCCTATTTTCACCTGAGGGGGAGTGTGTGCTGTGCATTCATCAGCTCAGAAAGTCCAAAGAAGAACACGATGTCATAGTCGTTTCCTTCGTCGTTTCGGCGACGCCCAGAAAAAGACACCCAAAATGACCGGACCAAACGTCCACCGATTTGGCCACCGATGAAGTCGCTGGATGCCGCCACGATGATTCTTCAGTTCACTTGGAGTCTGCCTGGGAAATCGAGTCACGACCAGAAAGAAGTCTGCATGTATCCCTTGTCCGAGCCACGTCCGAACTCAAGCTGGCGCCATCTTGGGTTTCAAGCATTTGTTTCTGGCTGTTCGATGTTGGGACTGGGTAAGCCCAGCCTCCTTCTAAGGGGCCCCCACAAACCATCAAACACCTGGCAGGGGTTTTCCCTATATTATCCTATATTTAAAAAAGGCTGGGCTTTGGGGTGTGTGCTCACCGGGCAAACCGGCCGGGCCACTGCGAGTGGTCCCGGCCCTCTGTTCCACCTCCCTGCCCCCCTCCTCTCCGTCGCCCACCTGTCGAAGCTGCACGAAGCTGCTCCGGCCATCCTGCCGGTCCACGCGGCAGCTGCGTTGGGGAGGCCCGACGACCGGTTGGAACGAAGGGACCGGACGCGGACCATTGATAGCTTCCTCCAGAGACAAAGAAAGCAGTCGCCTGACTGACCTTCTTTTCCTCTCCGAGAGGCGAGGAAGTGAAGAACCACCAGAGGGTGAGATGGGTCACTTTCGACCACCAGGTGTGATGTTTTAAGAGCTTCAGATGATTCTTTTGCTGATGGATTATATATCATGGTATATGTGATGTGTATGGTCTTTTCCCACCAGGCTCCCTTCTTCGCGAGTGCCTAATGATGCCAACCTACCAACCCCCGGGTGCCAACCACCCCAAATCTGTGCCATTTTCCGGGTAGGCCAGGGCACGTGACATGGGTGTATTTCTGACATTTTTCTGACCTCTCCTAGTGTCGTCAGCAGTAGATCCGAGCTCCAAGCGTCGGCTCCCCGTGGGGTTCGCTGTTCTTTCGAAGGGCTGTAACTGGGCTTTCCTCCTTTTTCCGCGGCCCGTGGTGTCAAAGAGCAAAGGAAGACACGAACCTGAGGTTCGGTACGACTGGGACCTTTACTGGGGTACCCAACTGGGATAGTCTATATAGTCTATACCAGCACCTTCCAACAGGTCTCCGAAATGGAGGGTTGTTAGGCCCTAACAGGTTTCAATTGGTGACCCTGTTGGAAGTGCTGGTCTATAGGGTTCTGACCGAGCTCTGTTGGTAGGGTCAACACCGATCCCAATAGTCGATCCGTCGCGACGGACACCAGGTACCCCTGACCAGGTCGGCCAGCCGACGAACGGCTCGGAGCACCGACCCGGGGCCCCCCACTTCGCGCGGAGCAGCGTCCCACTTGGCGAGGGACTGGCGCAACTCTTCCACCACACCTGGCACGGGTCCAGGAGGGGTAGCCAAGCGAGGGGTATATAGCTAGCCCCCCCGTGAAGTGCGCCGGCCTCCGCGACCCGTGACCCGGGAAGCACATGGCCAGGCTGCTTCCCCCTTCCACAGAGGCACGATCTCCACGGAGCCCGCAGCAGTGGTTCGGGCCGGTGGATCCCGGATCCGGCAGCCCCGGCAGCCCAGTGGAGTTGGTTCGGGAAGGTCGGTCTGGATCTTCCCATGCAAAAGTGATGCCGAACGAACGGCTGGTTTGGAAAGTTTGCAATAGTTGGAAGATCATGGAAGATCCAGGTTTGTCAGGAACCTGGGTTTCGTTCGGTCTACGGTTGAAGTCTTTGGAACTTTGAAACCATTGGTTACCTACTATACAGTGGTGACTGGATCGGCTTGAAACATTCCTCTCTGAGAGAGAGGTCTTTCACAGCATTTCACAGCCCTCTCTTAGCCTGTGAATAGTACCTGGAGTCCCAATGCCAACAGAGGTTGAGGTACCCAAACTAGACTATCCCAGTTGGGTACCCAGGTGACGGATCCTAGTTCAGGTCACGTTCCACCTCTCTTGGATGTGTCTGATGGGCTGGATCTGTCACCATTCGCTCCCCCCCATTTCGCACCTTCGCCACGTTGGCCCTCCTGCGCCAGAAGGCTCAAGGTGCTTTGGCACCACTCATGCCTCGGAAGAAGCTGAAGCTCAGCCCTCGCGAGTCTTGGAGTGGTTTTGCCACACCCACTTGGGCGGTCTTTTGTTGGAGTCAACATCTGGAAAAGGAAGGCCGTCTGGTATCGTCCTGTCACATGCGAATCTCGGAAATACGGATAGGCAAACGAGACGTGTTCTTTGTGCCCTCCACACTCTTCGGGGGTCTTTGTGTGCCCTCAAGACGCATCCAATAGCAGAAGGAGAATGAATGCACCTGAAGAGGGATTGCTAAGATTGACGAAATAGATCGGTCTTGCGGTTTCTTTTGGGAAACCTTATATGAACTTATATGTTCTTGAGAGACTGGTATAGATGCCCTTGTTACTAGTAGCTTCCAGTATGTTTCTGTCCGCTCCACCTTCACTTCACCCCGGAAGCTTCCCAACCAAACCACGATGGATCGACCGGGTATCAGCACTGCACTTATCCACCGTCCGTACCCCAAAACGCCAGCGCCGCTCCGCTTCCGTTCGGCGACTTCACCGCACCTCTGCTGCTGCCAATGCTGTGCCTCTGACACTTCGTCGGAGAGCTTCCTGCGCCGCGTCGTCAACCGCAACGCGACGCGCCACGCGGCAGAAGCAGAGCGACGCGCGGGCGCGAGCAAACACACCGTCGATCTGAGACGGTGGATTCGACCACAGCTCCTTCCGCGTCGAATCCAGCGGTCCCCAATGTAGTCAGCCTAAATTCTGGCAGTCTCCAGACGGGTCGGCGTCTGCACCACTCCACCTGCTCTTCCGCCGCCGAACCCTCGCAGGGTCCGCGCCCCGAACCTTCCC